ACGCCGTACCACTTGGCCACTGGGCCTCCGACCAAGGTGGCTTGTATAAATGTCTTTTATTTTCATTTCATCTCTTTCTGTCGTATAGATTTTAAAGTTTTTCGTTCATTTTAGTCGTTTATCCAATTTAAAACGACCTCAATAAATGTCTTTCAATCAAATACTTTAACTACTTCAATTATTTTATCAATCGAATGATTTTATTCAAGTTTTACTTTCTGAAACGGAAAAACATGCCAGCATAATTTATAATAGCGAATTTAATAATTATTATATAAAAAAAAATATGGAAGATATTAATAATTCTTACAGTGTTAGAAACCATTAGCATATTGTAATCGATTATCGCATTAAACGCCATAGTATAGAACATAGATGACGTATAATCCTATAAACGTCACTCAAAACGCAGTACTAGCGATTATTACGTTTTTTTCATTCAAACATTAGTAATTTTATGACTTAATATTAAGTTCAAAATCGGGATTATTTTATGCTGCGTGTAGTTACTATAGCCCACTCTGTCATGGATCAAAGGTAACGAGAAAGTATTAAAAATAAATTTAAAAAAAACAACCTTCGGATATAAAATAAATAATTACTTCCTTTTGAGATTGTAAAAGAAATTTGAAGTGGGCTTAAAGTGCTATCGAGTTCTCAAAAAAAAAGTAGGCCATGGTTGCTACATTTATGAAAAAAATAAAATAAAAAAAATGTGAATCTTCCCGGAAATAATCCAAATTTCATATTCAAAGGAAATTGAGATAACAATTTTAAAATATTTTAAAGGTAAGTTCAAGCTTATTTCTGGATACAAATTAATTAATTAGCATTTTTTCGTTTTATTTCCTTTATTTATTTATTTATTATTATTATTTTTTTTTTTTGCATAAGAAATTGAATCTGTTTAAATATAATCCGAGTAATTACATAAACTATAAATAATCCCGAATTTCTTGTAGAAAAAGAATTTCATTAAAAACTTAATTCGAGAAAACGAGAAAAATAATGAAGAAAATAATAATAATAATAATAAAAAAAACTTTTAGGTTCAGTTGTTACGTTTGACGATCTTTGACACGGTAAACAGCCTATTTAGGAAAAATATTTTGCCATTTTAGGCCACACGAACTCATCATCAAAGTTCACGAAGGAATCGGGCGCGCTTAATGATTAACCCTTTAAATTTTAAAAGTAGACAAACTAATAACAGTCTACAGAAACCTCATTCGTGATTACTTTTATAATAGCGAGGATTTATAATTTTATATATATACCTTTATCATTTAAAATCTTTCACACAATTTTATCACTTTGATGTGAATTATAGTTTTTTTGTTTTTTTTTGTTTTTTTTTTTTGGTCTTTCAACCATGAGTTAGACAAACAAGTTATGATAAGACCTATATCGAATTAGTCGGTTAGTTCTGCCTTGTGTTAAAGAAAAAAAATTATCATCATCGATTAAAAATCACATGAAGGTAACTTTTCTGATGACGATTTATATATAGAAATACAGTAATTTATTTTCTTACTCTATAAATATTTGGCCGCTCGTGATACTTTCTTCCATTGCATTATCTAGTTACCGTATACATTGCACACTCGATGTTTTAAACAAATAACCTTCAAACTGTTGTTTATGATTTAAAAAAAAAAATAAAGCTTTGCATTATAAGATTATTGATTAGTTACTACATAAAATTGAAATATTAACGGTCAAAAAATACTTCTCTGTGGAACGGATCCAATTATTCACCTGCTAAATCCCCCGTTCCTAGTGAGATCGCATTTATTTAGTAGTAAAATATGATAAATATTCTCGTAATTCGCCTTTGTTTAAATTATTTACAACGAACAATTCTTTATGTTTCCACATATTCACTTTTTTATATCCTCGTATAATATTTTATTGCGATAATTAATCATTTTTCCATTATTGTAAAAATCTTAATCATTGTTAAAACAAATTAAAACTTTCGAATATCTTGTTTTATGAGGCTATGTCATAATATTTGAATTAATAATATTACTAATAGAAAAAAAATTATTTTATTATTATTTCTAGGCTTATATTTTCTAATATTTAATACAATAACACGGAAAAAATAGCCATTATTCGAAACAATAAATAAAAGGCAAGGAGCATATGTCTTGGACATCGAGTAATTAGTCACTGAAATGTCGATTCGTCATCTTATTTTATTTGTCATGTAAATAATACATGTTCGTGGTATATTTGTTTTGTTGAGGCCTTTAATATCATGAATATTTATAAATTTCTTGTGAAAGCATTACTCAATTAAACCTATGCATATTTAGAAAGCATTCAACGAAGCACAATTCTCTTTAGAAATTTCATCATTCTTTATCGAATACTTAAGCTTAATAAACCAGTTACTGTTAGTTTATTTTATATTAAAAGCTCTGTTTTTATTTATTGAATCATTTAGTCATTTGAATTTAAAGTTCCGAATTTAAATTACAACGTAATGATATGCTAGTAATCCAATAATTAAAGATTCTTATAATTATTCAAATATTTTTAACTTTTTTCCTTTAGTTTCTTCTTGATCCGTCACTGATTAGCACTTTATAATCTTTAAATCTAAATTTTATAGGATGAAAATAGTGTATGACTAATCAATATAATATGTGGACTAATAATACAAGGTAATAATAAAGTGTATAGATAACCACTTTCCTAGTTCAATGAAAATATCATTTCTATAAGTAAACATAATTACTGTTTTGAAAGACAATTGATTTAAGATAGATTTGGATTCTAGACAACAAATATAGAATAGGTTTTTGAACCTTGATTAAAACTTTATTTTTAATGTTTATTTTATTTTAAAATATTAGTACGAATCTTAACTTAATATAAATTGCAAATAAAAAAAGCCAGAAGCTTTATTTATCTATAGACTCGTAATTAGAGTAGATAAATATAGAAGAAAATATATTTGTCTAATTTACTTACAAAATATTGAATTGCATTATTAAAATATTTTTAGAATAAATAATTTGTCAAAAAGAAAAAAAAAACTTAACTAAATACCATTCTTAATGATGAAATATGTTAATTCGGCACTTATTTAGCGTAAAATAATAGTTTTTGTGAATTGTGGCCATTACGGATATTGATTTACTTAGTTTCATCCAAATTAGTTTTCTGTTTGCTTCTTTTTTTGATGTACATTTTTCATGTCACCAACGAAAATAATAATAATAAAAAAAAACTACTATCGTGTCACTAAAATTTAATTATCCCGGTTTTCAACTAAATTAAACTAGTTTATAAGTAATTTTCTTCTGTTTGCCCAAGGCTTGTAATTTTAGTTGATTTATAAGACGTAACTGGTGCGAGAATGTCATTTGCCATTCTGGGTACTCTATTCATTAATACTTGATGATCCACGGTTATAGATTTTTAACACGCGGTTATTTACAGTTAATAAACCAAAGGTTGATATTATAAATATTTTATTTGTCCATTAATTACGTGTTTAATATGCAATTTTTGTTTTAATTTTCTTGCTATGAAAGCTGGTGTCCAATCGTATAGAAAATGATTCGTTTAATTATTTTTGTAAAAAATATTAGCAAGTTTTATTTGTCAATAATATTACAGCTTTGAATTGTAACTTGATGGGTTTTGCGTGATTTCAGTAGGATCAAATGATATATTCATTTAATACATCAAAGGAAATCTTTGATGTATTAAATGTGATGTATGATTTAAATACATAATTAAATGGGATTTACTTCAGTATTGACAGAAGAATGAGTTAAGATTATTTCATTGATGAAACATTTAATTCTTCAATATTAACATCTTGATATGTCATCAACTGTTATAAAAGTAATAGCATTGACAATGAAAACCTGTTTAAATAATTAATAAAATAACTAATAATTTTTTTTATAATTTTTTGACATTTAATGTCTTGTTTATCTAGGTCAGTAATTTCAAAATTGTCATTTGTGGACCATCAGTAGTCCGAGAAATTGCAATGAATAGTCTTCAACTGGTCACGGTTTCGTTTAATTAAGAATTTAAATTCTTTTTTTACAGCGACGTGAGAAATCTTAAAATAAACTAAACGGAAATTTTTATAAATGACTTTGTGTTAACAGGCGATATTTGGTCTGCGTAGACCATTGCATTGGCCTAAATCGACTATCATCCAGATATAGGAAGTTACCGGTTTGAAGGTCAGAAAAAGGGCTCGAGTCGCTATCAGGAAAATTTTAATCATACGAGAAATATTATTATAAACAGCTAAGGTCACGGTCAGATTTGAAAACATCGAGAATAATAATTTTGAAAAGTTAGGTCATCAATCATTGTTAAAGATTATAATCAGAAGAATGAATTACATTGAAAGAAAATCTTTGATGTATTCATATGCAAAAAATTAAGTCACCTATTACTCATATACGAAGACACGATATGAATATAATGATAAACCCTTAAACATTTATTGATTTAGTAAATAGGCTATAAAATAATGTAAATGATGATAATTAAGCATCCGAATAAATTGTTTAAAATTTTATATAGTTCTCGGCTATACAAACCATTAAACACGCTTCTCTCTCACGAAAACTTATAATTTGTTCAGTTTGATTTTCTCTTCTGAAGAAAATATAATAATTATACTTAGTCCATATTTAACTTCGTGGAGTTAAATATGGACTAAAGTACGAAAGAACCATCTATTATCTGAATTTGTGTATTAATACGAACACTATAATAAATATTAACTGTTGTATATCTAGGCGTTATGCTTCACAAATAAACATTGATTGATGATGTATGCACGTTTAATGTTTTCACTAATTTATTCTAACGCCTATTACTAAACGTAAATTTTATTAGTAAAAATAAAATAATATTTTTTTCTATAAATAATCTGCATCAATCATGAAAAATGCTGCATTCTAGTTTATTTATATAACCCATATCCTTGTATATTAGAAGTTATATAAATATATGAGATATATAAATAAGCTTTTAAACGTTTTAAAAAATATAAAAACAGCGAGCTTATGATTCATATTACAGTGTTTTATCAATATATTTTGGCAAATTTAATTAATTAAATATAAATTGAGGAAAGTCATCTTTGAACACTTTTAATTTTGTTTAAGAATAAGTCATAAAAAATGATCCCATGCAATAAAAAAGTATAGAAGGAAAATTATTACTCTAGAACAAAGAACGAACTCAGACATAAACTAAACGAACAATAATAAAACATTGATAAGATAGTATTTATATGATTATCCCAATTATTCTATTGTTTTCGAGTATACTTGATATGTACTAATTACATAAAAAGTAACTTAGTTAAAATGAAGTACGACTTTTTTTTTAAAAAAAAGGAATGAAAATAAATACATTAAATGTTTAAATCTGTTTTGATTTTATATTATTTTCGTTCGAATATTTACAGTTTACATTATTTTTTAATGTCATTTTTTTACTTTTGTAACTTTGTAGCAGAATATCATTTTTGTAGTTTTTATAGTTAATTTTCAAATCAATTTTTACTAGAAGAAATAAGATTTAAATCTTATTTATTTAAAAAATACCTTCTTTCTAAAAAAAATAAAAAAAAGCTTATATCTTATAATAAATTAGATGCAAGAACTATTGTTCATTATGGATTTGAAAGCCACAGAACTCTCTTTCTTTCTCTCTATTCGTATCCATATTTTCATTCAAAGCAAATGTAAAAAAGATATTTTAAAATAGCTAAACTTAATTCTTCACAAATTTCATTTTTATACAAAATACAAATAATAAAAACTTTATTTAAACTTTATAATTATGAAAGAGCTTCTGTTATAATTTAAAGATTTACTTGGCTTGAAGAATGTAATCGACAATGGATTTCTATTTTAATTTTCGCTTAATCTTGCAATAATATTTTATTTTCAGTGTATTCATAAAAATAGAAATGTAGAAAATCAAATAATATCTCTCACATCCATCCTTGTCCCATTTTATTTACAACGAGAAACTCGTCCTCGACATGTACCTTGAGATTCCTTCAAAATATATCTTAAAATGAAAAATAGTTTAGGATTATTCAGAGATAATCTTCCGACAAAGAGCAGCGTGACTAGACTCAAAAATCCAGTAATTTTCCCCTTAAAAATTAAAATAAAAATTTGTCCTATATCTTGGTCATATCTTCAAAATAGAAAGTTATAGCGATTCGTTAGATATTAACAAATGTAGTGCAGAATATTAGGGGAAAATTTATATTAATTTAGCCTATATTGATATACATGTAAGCACTCGACCTAGGCCTACTTATTATAAACATGACTTCGGGCAAAAGAATCAAACCACTATGCTCCATAAACTTGTAGGTCCTCATTTAAAGTGAATATTATCAAATTATTTTCAAGGAAATGGATTTAAGAATCAAAATTTTATCTTGTTTATTAATCATTCTGTTACATCTTGATGATATCTAAACAACGTTCATTATTATTTTGATGCATTGCTGTTTCGTGGCTAGTCGTACATGAAATCTGCACAACGAGAGAATATCCGAAAGAAAGTTTAGGATATTTGACATTCCTGAAAGTTACCCCATTTGAATACATAATTATGCGTTTCCTAGTAAACGGAAAAATCAAAAACAGTCCTATTTTCTTCTATTCTCACGATTATACACAAACAAAAAATCTACTTTTCTACATTCCAAACAGGTGGCTTCCGACCTCAACCCGTGACCTAGTTAAAACATCGTCTGAGCCGTGTTAAAAATATACAGTAAGTACTGTACTTATAAGATAGTTGCCAGCTTTACATTAAACAGGTGGTTATAATAGTATATATGTTCTTTTACATAATTTCGATGTAGTTAGTAACAGAACGGAGTTATAGAGCATTCAATATTTATGATGAGAATCTAAAAATATTTTAAAATATTTTTATATTTAAAAATAAAACGTCCTTAACCTATCAAATCATCTGAAAATCAAGGTCTATGAACTTGCACATATTATCAGAATTAAGAATATCGACCACCTAAGGTTGACCTCAATGGAGGTGAATTTAGTCAAATTTTAGTAATGCAAACGAAATTCTTAAGCTTTGTTAATGATGTTGCATCTTTTAATTTTTTTTTAAATAATAATAATGGATTTCTTTATTTTTTTAAGTTTATTTATTACAATATAAAGACTCATACTAAAAGTTAATTGCTTAAGTACGGCTTAACAATGAAAAATTATTTAATACTTTTATATTTGTTTCATTCTAAAAAATGATCTATTGAAATAGTTGTGTTTTCGAATAATAGTTTTATGAAAAATTGCATTTTTTTAAATAGCTAAAATAAAATAAAGCTATAAACACAATTTAGAGAATCTTGGAAATAACTTTAGCCTAATTATAATGCATTCTCTTAGATTTTATTAATCATACATGCAGATGAAACTTACAAAAACTCGAATATACAGCTTATACTAAAGTAGAATCTACAATAAATATTTATTATTAAGTTATCAAATATGTAGTCATGCATATACAACATTTATTCTAACTCTAGTATTCTATGCATGCTGATATCTAATAGTGTAGTACTGATTTCTTGTTCATTTAATTAATCTTATCTTGAGTTAATTAATGGGGTAATTATTTTTACAGAATAAATTCTATAAAAGTTTATTATATTTTTCGATGTAGATTAATCATTTTATGCAAAAATAATATACCTATAAATTGGCAAAGCATAGAGAAAGTAGCCTACATAAAATAGAAACTATCTCCGAATTAAGGCGTAAGTAAATTTAAATTAAATCTCAGTTACTGTAAATTATCTTACAAATACAGTAATCTCTCATTTACGGGAATTCACTTTAATACAGTTGAAAATTTTTTAAAATTTAAATAATTAACTTCATCGAAATAAGTGATAGTTACATCAAAAATTACGTATATGCACACTTATATAGATACGTATATTTAAAACTTTTCTACCCCAGTAAAATATTTTATTTGAGAATATGGAACATATCCTTATTTTAAACAGCTTTGTATGGTTCCATTTATGCGCTGTTTTCGTGAAACCAATTACTCTCGTAAATGAAGAGATTACTGTAGTAAAACTATGGAGTTAACACAAAAATATACACTAACAATTACTACAATATTACCATTTACTGATGCGTGAAATTTTTTTACATTTTGATTTATTCATTCCCTTTTCTTTCTTTCTTTTTTTTTATATACATTGTGTCGATATTTAATTTTTATAAATTTAAACGAAGGATGAAATCGAATGTCGGTCATTCCGTAACATTTCCAGTTAGATTGATACTGTACAAGATATTTTTTACTGTTCAGGAAGTGAAATGATGCATGATATAAGATGTCATTTTCCGGTAGGTAACATCTTCACTATTGTTTTATTATTAGTAAAGACTTAACTATAGATTAGATGTGGGATGAGATGACGACCTTATTAACTATATCGCTGAAAAATTTTTATTCTTTACAGAAATAAAAACATGAATAGTTTATTAATTATTTACGAATATTGCAATTAATTGATATATTGATTGAGCAAAATAAGTTTTTAATATTCTGTTCTTAATAAATTTTATCTCATTATTAACTTAGATTTTAACGTAGGCAGAACTGAATGTGTTTAGTATACATTTTCGAAGTATTTGTTAAGTAGTATAGAATTTAATACATATAATCTACGTTATTGAAATTCTTAATTAAAAGTGAATGATAGCATGTATTATTTAGATATATTTGTTTATATAAAGTCAAGTAATATTGGTTTTACCTAAAATATATGTATAATTAATACATGCGGTCTAAAACGCAAAGTTTTATTGAATTTCAAATTCTATTTATAACGGGAAGATGTGCAAAAGATTTGTAAAAAAGGGTGCATTTTCTGTAAAACTGCATGCCAAGAGAATTTATTGAACGATTAAGTCGGTCCTAATTATAAACTCCATACACGCAGCGTACTAGAAACGTAGAATAGAACAATGTACTTACCGAGGTGAAAAAGGCCAAGTAGCAAGAAGGCATTAAAACTCAACCGACACCAATCCACAAAGTATATCCACATCGTTTAAATTATCCTAGCAGCACAATAAAATTCTTCTCTGTATATTGTTCGGCTACGTAGTCTAGTGAGCAATACTTGTTACGACAAGTTAGACAAGCTACTTTATGCCGACCCGTGAAAAACCGGGTCTCTTTTATAGGACATCTCCTGCGGCGTCATTCGCCTGGACCTTTATACACCCCTGCCCCCATATTTCCTACAGCTTCGGGCCTTATAAAAATCCACCCTCTGATGCCATAATTGTAGAAAAGTCTATGCCTCATCACCGAAAAAACCCCGAACGAATTTTTATTTTCGCGAGGCGTTTTTTTAAAAAGGTTACGCTTTAAATTTTCTATACTGTACGTTTTAAACAGGTTTTGTTGGATTACATCTTAAATTAAGCGATTGATTTAGAATTTAAAAAAAAAAAAAACATAAATAAAAACAGTTCCAGACTGTTTTGACAGTTATAATATTCCTCACGCCCTTACTGATGAATGGATTTCAGAATAAAAGTTAGATGAAGCTGTTGTTATTCGTGTCGATTATAGATCTATGTCTTTGGCCTGTAAACTGTCCTCTCTGTCTCTGGCCTACTTCGTCGTGTAATGATCAATACTAAATCTACAATAAAAATCAAACAGAAAAATAAAAATAAAAAATGCGCATCATACCAAAAAAAAGAGATTTTTTTTACATTTTTTAAAACTTGTAAGCATTATATTTAAAAGATAAATAGTCGTTTTTGCAAAGATTAACTTCGAAATTATAAACCTTCAACTGATAAGTTTATAACAGGATTTTCCAGAGTTGTTAAACTGAAATTAGATATACTATATATATAACATTTAACGTAATCCATACTGATAAAAAAAAAAAAAAAAAAACACAAAACCGTTTATTCTTTTTTCTAGATGCTATCCTTATATTAAATTTTTTAAATTAAATAACTAAAATCCTTATTAGAATTCGATAACTGTAAAATAAGTTTCAATTTAATTTTTAAAAATTCTATTGAAAGAATGTTCAAAGATTTATTTCTTTAATTAAAAAACAACTTTATGAACTTAATTTATCTTATGAATTTTGAAAAAAATTTACATTAAATTCTCTTTTTTTCTGTGTTTTTTTTTTCTTTTCTTGTCAAAGATATTAAAACCCAAAATATCTAATCAGTATTGGAGGTGAGAAGAGTTATTTTCTCGGATGAGTACTTGCGCATTAGCCTCACTTTCATTTGGACTTCTCTCCTTTTGCTGAAAGTCTCTTTCAGGAAAGATGAGGTAGGTTTAGCTTTTCACGATTTCTTTTGCTAAAATATCTTATAGGAAAAAAATATATATATTATTAATTATATACCACAGCCTAATATATGATTAAACTTATAAATTGTATAAATAAATAATATATATATATATATTTTAAAAAGAAACGAGTATTTTATTGCGATAAAGTATAAATTACATTAATCTTTTCCTTAATTTTCAAAATAAATCTCACAGTAACAGATGCAATTAAATTGCTGACCTCTAAATCGTTCAGAAATCTATTAATAGATCCTGTTCTTGAATGATTACATATTTTATATTTCCTGATAAAACTTATAGGCTATTTCATAATAATATTTATATATTTTTATAATTAATAAAATAATAATAACAATAATAGATTCGTTTCAAAATNAAAAGTAGTGTCCGTTCTAGCAATATAAATTTGTTTACAAGTTAAAAAATAATACTAAATATTACTTATTGTCACATCACAATGCCGGGCTGCAATTTTTTTATTTTAAAAATCACATGATTTCCGATTCAGACCGGAAGTTCTTATATAGTTAATCGGGGTTCCGACCCTTATTCTTTCCATATCTGGTCTCGATTTTCGTCTATCTAACTTCGTTCTCGAGATTAAGAAAGGACGGTCAGACATACAGATGGACGAAGTGGAAATATATAGGTCTATAATTTGAAAATTGCATCCAATTATCCTTTTAGAGCGATAGAAGCTCATCAAAAACTTATAACAATATTAGTTTTTTAAATGTCTTTATTGATTTAAAATTTTAATTGATCTTATTTAAATTAACCTGAACAAGATTACATTTTTAATATATAATTTTAATTAAATTTAAGCAACATTTAACTTACTATATTTTTTCTTTAATTTTAATATAATTTATTTTCTTTAACATAAACAGCATTAAAAAGGATGTAATTTTTTCCGGGAAAAATCCATTTCCTAAACTTCCCAAACTTCCTAAAGTTATTTCTACATAATTTTAAATGAAATTACAGATTAAACTACTCGCTAGATTTTTATGAAATTAATATTATTAATTATAAAATAAATCTACATTTATAAAAATCCCGATTTCTGAGGTACTTTAATCTATTAATATTTGATAATATTCTCTTTTAACACTCAACACTTAAATACTGTATTTCAAAATTAATGTTAAGTAATAATCTACTAATCATGAAATTTTATAAATTTTACATCTAAAAATATTTATATATTAGTTTATAATTTATATTAGGACGTATTATTGTAATTAATATCTTTTATCTAGTACCAAAATAACGATAATTTTAATTTAATGAAAAATAATCGAATTAAAATATTTTTTATTTTTTTGCTTAATATAATTTATCATTTTCGTATAATTTAATATGTAAAAATTTCGCTTCCTTATTTCATTTTCTCTTAATGAAATATTCAATAAAATGTACTAGAAATTTGTTTAACGCCAAACTATTTTTAACTTGGTAAAGCACCCTACTTAAATTTTCTGTATATTATAAGTATAAAATTAATTATTTTGATTTTTAAACTTTATTTTATCGATCGTAAATGGAATCACGTTTCTGTAAAGATTTGCTGAAACGTGACACTTTTAAATAATTTTCAGTGAAAGATTTTGATTTTTACTTTCCCTGCTGTTATATATAACATAGGGAAAGTATCAAGAAATGACCCCTCCACAAGATTTTTGGATTCGGGGACCTTGAAACTTAGGGAAAGACAACAAAAATTTTGTTTTTTTTTCTTGTATGAATGTTAGTGTGTGTTTGTGAGTGCTACATTTTTGTTCATCCACTTTGAAACTTAATTAATAACTCCTGTGTATTTTGTCGAATATTCCTGAAATTTTGCAGGGAGGTTCATTAGTAAGGGGCATTGATGCCATTAAATTTTGGTAATTAAAAGTCAAGAGGATGGGGAGATAGAGGGGTCACGTGTCATCTCTCGAGTAAGGTCGAACTTAATGAGGATTTTACTCATTAGCATTTATATTTTTTTATTTTTTTTTAAATAAAATTAATCTCTATCTCCAAAATTAAACCTTTTCTCTGTTTATGATGATCGATATTATAAACCTTTTAAAATAAAATCTTATAACAGATGGCGCCACACGCAAGTTTAACTGATTTTGCCGGGAAAGTTACACAACTTGCTTCTGGATTTGTTTTTGCTTGTGATGCGGAGCCTTCATGAAATTCTTGCTAATAAATGTCGTTTTTTAATGTTAGTTTAAAATTTAATATTAATTTTCAAATACTTAGAAGCAGTTTTAATATAGTGTTTGGTGTACTCTTTTTAGAGACTTTCTAGAAAAGTTGGAAACTCGAAATGGCCCATCAAGGCTTTTAAAAAATAACGTTTATTATTATCGATTGGTCCTTGTCATTTCTTCAATCATCGAAGAACCGAAATATATTCTGTTGATAACAACGTGAAAAATTTTGATCGATTAAAAATATCTGACTAACAATTTATCTAGACTTTATCTATTTTTAAAAGTCTAACAATAGCTACAAGTTTGAATTATTATTTATTATCGATAAAGCNCTGCAATACAAAAATATTGTGATTTATGAATTAACGATTAAACAAAATGAAAATTTCTAAATGATTTATCGTTTTTTCAATGCCATTTTTATTAAAGATATAAAATAAAATTCTATTTCTTGATAATTTCTTAGTTTTATTTTAACAATGGAAAAATCCTAACTATAAATTGTTTCTAAACATTTCTAATTTAAATGAACAATTTATTGTTTCTAGCCGAAAATATTTAAAATATTTTATTAAAATGAAATTAAGATTTAATTTACAATTAGAACTGAAAGTAGAAAAAAAGAAATATTTAAAGACAAAAATGATAAGATTTTTTTTTTTTTAATGTGAGTAGAAACTTTTATGTCTGGAATGTCTGGAAATATTAACTAGAAACTACATTAGATAACGCAAGAATTCTTCTAAAATCGTTATAAAAATCATTATCGTGTAGATCCCATGTGATCAGAGTCCGAGTTTTATATTATGTGCACTAAATACAGTTTTGAAAATAATTGTTATTTTTTCAATGAACTGACATTTATTATATATAATTGCAATTATCTAAATTAAAAATGAAAAAGAAAATTTCCTATGGTTACTCTCGTGAATTCCTTTATATTCCAATGTTTACACGTAGAATTTTGTTTTTTCCTTTAAAGAAAGACAATACTGTATTTAACATCAGTATACGTTCTCACTTTTATTATGTTATGGTCACTGCCAGATAACAAACAATATTTTAAAAATTTAAATTTTAATAAACAATAATAGTTAATTGTATTCTGATATAATCGCATTTTATTTATATGGAATTTTAAAAAAAGTAAAATATTTATTGTGTATTATTCACGAGTATACAAAGGAATTTCGGCAATTTCTTTGTATGTTTGTGAAGAGCTATGCGATGGAAAAATCGTGCCAAGGACTTATATATGACATAAGAATAGTAAGAGAGCTTCCGCGAAAAACAACTAAAAAAAATAAGCATATATTTGATAAATTAAATTTAAACTGCCTCAAACTGGTGTCTATTATGTAACTTCTATAGAAAAATNGGACGGTCAGACATACAGATGGACGAAGTGGAAATATATAGGTCTATAATTTGAAAATTGCATCCAATTATCCTTTTAGAGCGATAGAAGCTCATCAAAAACTTATAACAATATTAGTTTTTTAAATGTCTTTATTGATTTAAAATTTTAATTGATCTTATTTAAATTAACCTGAACAAGATTACATTTTTAATATATAATTTTAATTAAATTTAAGCAACATTTAACTTACTATATTTTTTCTTTAATTTTAATATAATTTATTTTCTTTAACATAAACAGCATTAAAAAGGATGTAATTTTTTCCGGGAAAAATCCATTTCCTAAACTTCCCAAACTTCCTAAAGTTATTTCTACATAATTTTAAATGAAATTACAGATTAAACTACTCGCTAGATTTTTATGAAATTAATATTATTAATTATAAAATAAATCTACATTTATAAAAATCCCGATTTCTGAGGTACTTTAATCTATTAATATTTGATAATATTCTCTTTTAACACTCAACACTTAAATACTGTATTTCAAAATTAATGTTAAGTAATAATCTACTAATCATGAAATTTTATAAATTTTACATCTAAAAATATTTATATATTAGTTTATAATTTATATTAGGACGTATTATTGTAATTAATATCTTTTATCTAGTACCAAAATAACGATAATTTTAATTTAATGAAAAATAATCGAATTAAAATATTTTTTATTTTTTTGCTTAATATAATTTATCATTTTCGTATAATTTAATATGTAAAAATTTCGCTTCCTTATTTCATTTTCTCTTAATGAAATATTCAATAAAATGTACTAGAAATTTGTTTAACGCCAAACTATTTTTAACTTGGTAAAGCACCCTACTTAAATTTTCTGTATATTATAAGTATAAAATTAATTATTTTGATTTTTAAACTTTATTTTATCGATCGTAAATGGAATCACGTTTCTGTAAAGATTTGCTGAAACGTGACACTTTTAAATAATTTTCAGTGAAAGATTTTGATTTTTACTTTCCCTGCTGTTATATATAACATAGGGAAAGTATCAAGAAATGACCCCTCCACAAGATTTTTGGATTCGGGGACCTTGAAACTTAGGGAAAGACAACAAAAATTTTGTTTTTTTTTCTTGTATGAATGTTAGTGTGTGTTTGTGAGTGCTACATTTTTGTTCATCCACTTTGAAACTTAATTAATAACTCCTGTGTATTTTGTCGAATATTCCTGAAATTTTGCAGGGAGGTTCATTAGTAAGGGGCATTGATGCCATTAAATTTTGGTAATTAAAAGTCAAGAGGATGGGGAGATAGAGGGGTCACGTGTCATCTCTCGAGTAAGGTCGAACTTAATGAGGATTTTACTCATTAGCATTTATATTTTTTTATT